TGCACGTCTTCCGAATCGTTGCCCTGGATGTGTTGTTGCTGTTGCTGGTGATGATGATGATGATGGTGATGGTGATGGTGACGATGGTGATGGTGATGGTGGTACTTGGGATGGAGCGTGTGCACGGCCGGCGGTTCGTGCAGATCGAGCACGTTCACCGGTTGCATGGTCGCCAGCAAGACCTGCTCGTTCTCGTTTTGATTTTGGTTGCTCAGAGAGGAGGACGCTGGTGAGACTGGTGCCTCCTGCACCTGTAACGTAGATTATAGGTAGGGTCATGCAGTGTGTATCGCGACAACTGCAATATCGCCATTTCGATTTGTCGAATAGATTTTTTGGTGTCGCGATTGTTAATCGAGATATTCCAATGTGCTGCGTGCTACTAGTGATCGTAAATAACGATTTCGCTATCACACCAGATGTATTTATAGCATCATTTTTTATCACGCCGGATTAAAGTGGAAGAAACGCGAACGCCATTGTGAAATTATCTCTTATAATCGAGCGAAGGTATTGTGATTGCATTTCATCGAGTATTAACGAGACACCTTGATCTTTCGCGCACACAATGCTCCGATCGCGCCCCGTTTTTTTTCTTCCTATCGAAACGGCGCGTTCGCCGCCGGTCGCCGCCCATGTGTGCATGCAGGTCTGAATTAAATCATTTACAATGATAACGAAGTTAAAACACAGCGCGCAGCCGGCGTTAATTTATTAATCGCATTAACTGGCGCGCGGTTTACGACATTCGGATTTATACGCCCGAGCGAACTCCCGGCGTCCCGGGCAACGCCATATGTATGTTGCAATAACCTATAACATTTTCGAATGCTAATAACTGTGCGCGCGATAGGAATTATATTAATATCTTCTCGCGCGGTCCGAAGCATGAAGCATTTCGTACCGCCAGGCATCCTTTCGTCGTAATTAATCGCTCGTACGTTCATTGCTTGTAACACACGCGCCAAGAAATTCTTTCAGAGTATTCAAAGATCAAACGATCATTAGCGCGATCTAGGTCCACTCGCGACTCATTCACGTGACGATCGCGAGAGGCTGTTGGTTATTTTTGTCGCGAAATTCAGGAAGGATTGCCGCAGCTTTCATTTCTGAGAAGCCGGCGATTTATTTTCGCGCGACATTACTTAATTGCATTCATTAGCGTTTGCTATGATTTATATTGTCCTCCCCCTCCAAAGATTACGTGATACATTTTCACGTCGGGAAATAATGACATTAGATAATTTCATTTTCTTCTTCTGTAATGAAAATATTCAACGCATTTATTTCGCGAAGATGATAACGTGAGATGAGATTTCAATTTTTGAGAGATATTTTCCCCGTCGTTAATGGATGTCTGATAATATTGCAAAATTATTCATGAGACAATCTTTGCGAATCAAAAGTTTTAGAGATTGAGTATCGCGCGAAGGGAAGTCTCTTGAGATTTTACTGAAACTACTATTACTGAAAATATATTACACGTAAAACAGATATCCTACGTAAGTATACTTAATGGTCAGTTAAACGGTGACGGTCGCATTACTGATGCACTTATATCCTAGTATTCCCGAAGTTGGCGCTCATGGAAACCCCTGTGACCCGCATGAATAAGAATACGGTACAGTAATGACGTCGTTTGGAATTTCCCACGTGTCGCCGGATTATCGTGCTTTCTAGCCGGTAAGTTATGGCGCGAAGTCTCTCTCTTTCCTTCTCTTTCTCCCCCCCTTTTTTTTTTAAATCTTTTTCCCGGCAAAACCTCCGAGACCTCGAGAGCTGCCCGATGCCACACAGTCACCGCGGCATCATTCGTAACGTGACAGCAAAGCGACGTGGCAGTGCTATTAAGGCCCGTGCATATTGCAGCAGCCTGTAGCCGCAGAGATGGGTTCCGTCAATTAACATAATTAACAATATTATGAATCATCCTCTTAGTGCTCAGGCGCCTCGCGCGTGGTGCTGTACGTGAATTACTCACGCCGTTAGCCTAAGCGCAAAAATGTTACTCTTTTTCTCTCTTTCTCTGTCTCCTCGTCTCTTCGGAAAGTATCCTTTTTCCTCTCCTTTATTCATTTTCTACGGTGCGCGGGACTTAATCCTAAGTGTCACCGGTTCCTATATTTTCTCGCGTTGACCGTCGTAAATTCACCCGCTGATGAATAATCGCGATTCTACGATTAAACGCGAGGATTAGCGCGATGAAATACGGTCGGTAGGTACGGGTAAAATTGTTAATGGACAAACGCGAGCCTCTGAATAGACCACACGTGTCTCCATGAGCCAAGGTAACAATGTTTATTTCACGATTATGACTTTCTGGTATACATGCCTGACAAACTTATTATTAATAACATCGTAATTTCACGCTTTTTGCCTGCTTTTTACGCACAGTACGATTTTATTTTCGGAGGCCTCTCTACGTCATTTGAATCTTTTCTCTGTACATATACACACACACACGTACGGGGTGTCCCGACCTTTTTTGCTAATCACTTTTGTGTAGACAGAGCGGACTAAACTGAGTCGAAAAGTTCTTTACCATTTTGCAATTTTCACAATAGTTAACAAGGTATTAATTACTAAAAATTGCAAAATATTAGTTTTGAATAATTTTTTATTCAAATACTATCAACTTTACAGAAAAACTGCAAGAGACAAAAATTATTTATTTTCTTCTCATAAAGTTTTGAGAATTTTTTCAGAATTTTTT